TGCCTTCTGCTTTCTGCTTTCTGATGTCCCAGAAGCAACCACTTTCAATTTTCAGTATTCTTTCCATAATTGAAAATATTTCTTGATTTATTGGGTTTTGATTCACCCACTGACTCCCTTTAGCTCTCTCCCTTCACCCACACATACACCCTCCTGACACTTTCCTCTACTCTCCTGAAATACTTTTAGGACATATTTGGTTGTGGCTGGCCATTACACATCTATATTTTAGTATTATGGCTATTACACGTCTGCACACTGTGATTTCATTTTATTTCTTGTGTAACTTTTTTTGTTTCTTCACAAGACATCTGTTCCTCCTTTTTGAAAATTTTGCATGTCTTGGTTTGAAGGACCTCTTGCTGAGTCTTGTCACATGCTCTGAAGTTTTTTAAAATATCTCAGCCCAGTTTTTCATGAAATCAACCCTGTCAGATAATCTATTAGTCCCTTTTTATTTGTAGGCCTTTCTCTTGGAGCCCACCTTCACTGTTGATGTAGACAACCTGGTCTCAAAATTCCTAGGACTTCCCTTTTGGTCATCCTGAAATTCCATTTGCCTCTTCCCTGTGTGGACCACTAAATCCCTCATTTTTCTCTCTATTGGTCTGTGCTCCCAGAAAAGGGGATTGGGAAATCAAGTTGTTGAGACTTTACACATCTGAAAATGTCTTTATTTTACCTTCACCATAGTTTGGAAATTACTACTTTTTCTTAAAATTTGAAGGCTATCCTCTGTAGTTTTATAACTTTCAATGTTATTGCTAAGACTGGATGGCATTCCAATTCTTCAGCCTTCAGAGGTAACAGGATTTTTCTCTCTATAAGCTTCTAGTATATTCTCTTTATCACAGCATTTTTATTTTTATTTTTTTTGGTAAGCCTGGCTAAAAGTCTATCAATTTTGTTTATCTTTTCAAGAACCAGCTCTTAGTTTTGTTCATCTTTTCTATTTTTTAAGTCTCTATTTCATTTATTTCTGCTCTGATCTTTATGATTTCCTTCCTTCTACTAATTTTGGGTTTTGTTTACTCCTTTTTTTCTAGTTCTTTTAGGTATCAGGTTAGATTGTTTGAGATTTTTCTTATTTCCTAAGGTAGGCCTATATCACTATAAACTTCCCTCTTAAAAAATGCTTTTGATGGGTCCCATAGATTTTGGAACACTGTGTTTCCATTTTCATTTGTCTCAAGGTATCTTTTGATTTCCTCTTTTGATTCTCAATGGTCCATTGCTTGATTAATAGCATATTGTTTAGCATCCATGTGTTTGTGTTTTTTCCAGTTTTTTCTCGTAGTTGATTTCTAGTTTCAAACCATTCTGGATGGAAAAGATGCTTGATATGATTTCAATCTTAAATGTATTGAGACTTCTTTTTTGGCTTAGGCTGTGATCTATTCTGGAGAACATTCCATGTACATTTGAAAAGAATGTGTGTTCCGCTGTGTTGGGATGAAAGGTATATGCCTATTAGTTCACTCTGCTTAAGCTATAACAGCCTTCTTGCTACTCTTCAAACAAGCCAGGTATGTTTTCACCTGGGGGTCTTTGCACTTGTCTAGAATGATTTTCCCTCATATAGTCACATGACTCACTCCATTATGACCTTCTAATCTTTTCCCAGTTGTCACTTTTTTAAAAATTAATTAATTTTTAATTGAAGGATAATTGCTTTACAGTATTGTGTTGATTTCTAACAAACATCAACATGAATCAGGCATAGGTTCACCCATGTCCCCTCCCTCTTGAACATCTCTCCCACCTCCCTGCCCATCCCATCCCTCTAGGTTGTTACCGAGCCCCGGTTCAAGTTCCCTGACTCATGCAGCCAAATTCCCACTGGCTATCTATTTTACATATGGTCATGTATGTTTCCATGCTACTCCCTCCATACGTCCCACTCTCCTCTTCCTCCCCCTACCAGCCATGTCCATAAGTCTGTTCTCAGTGCCTCTGTCTCCATTGCTGCTCGGCAAATAGGTTCATCAGTACCACCTTTCTAGATGCCATATATATGTGTTAGCATATGATATTTGTTTTTCTCTTTCTGCCAATTGTCACTTTCTTGAAGAGTTTTTTCCTGACATTACTTCAAAGTGGTGACCTCCTGGGTTGAAATTTGGTAATGAAGCATTCCTAGGCTCAGAAAGTGCTCAGTAAATGTTTACTGTACATTTTCAGAGGTTGGTTAGGAAAAGTTTCATCCAACTGATTGGAATAGGTAGGAATGAGAGGGAGAAGAGGGGAAATTCCAGGCAGGTGAGCCGGCTAAATGAGTTACAGCCTGAAACCTGAAATTTAGAAATTATTCATATTCTTATAACATTTGAGAGCAGATGATTTTAAAAAGGAGAAAATATGAAGGAGAAATATCCAGGGCTAACCCTCATTGAAGTGCTGGGGCAGTGGGCTCTAGTGAGAGAAATTGGGAGGCAGTTATCAGAGAGGTCAGGAAAGGGAAGAATAGTGATGTTGTCAAGAGTAAGGAAGAAGTGGGGGTAAATATATGAAGTGATCTAGATTTATTTTCTTACCTAAGTTTCACTAGTGTTAGCTACCCTGTTTTGACATATAAAAAATTGAGACTTGGATTTCACCATTAGTGATGGAACCAGGAATCAACTCCAGATCTGGCTCCTAGTCTAGTTATGTTTTACAACCCAGCATGCTTATGTAACTTATATGCAGAGTACATTGTGTGAAATGAATCAATCCTAAAGGAAATCAATCCTGAGTATTCATTGGAAGGCTGATGCTGAAACTGAAACTCCAATACTTTGGCTACCTGATGCGAAGAGCTGACTCATTGGAAAAGACTGTGATGCTGGGAAATACTGAAGGCAGGAGAAGAAGAGGGGTGGCAGAGGATGAGATGATTAGACAGCATGAATCTGCGCAGACTCCCAGAGATAGTAAAGAACAGGGGAGCCTGGTATGCTACAGTCCATGGAGTCATAAAGAGTTGGACTTGACTTAGCAACTGAGCAACAACAACGACAATTTACCACTTGCAAAGAAGCAGAAATAGACACTCTCCCATACCGGCAACATACTAAATTATCTTTAAAGTGTGACTGCTATTTAAATGCTGAAGCATTTATGGAAGCATGATTCAAATATTTATTGTGGTGGTATAGTCGCTAAGTCATGTCTGACTCTTGCAACCCCATAGGCCCACCAGGCCTACAGTCCATGGGATTTTCCAGACAGGAATACTGGAGTGGGTTGCCATTTCCTTCTTCAGGGGATCTTCCCGACCCAGGGATCAAACCCTGGTCTCTCATAGTGCAGGCAGATTTTTTAGCATCTGAGCCACCAGTGAAGCCCAACCATACATTTAGAAGGATAGGATAAAGACAAATAATACTTTTAAAAAATATTTCACCAAAAATGTCATTAAATATATTTTACTGATTTTGAAAATTGTTGTTTAACCCTTTCTCATTCAGCTCTTCAGGGTCTGCTTCTGGGTCAGTTTATTTTGGTTTTGGTTTATATCGCTGTCAGTTGAAAAAGGTACCTCACAAAGACAGATGGTTCCAAATGGAATAAGGCAGGCTTGGCTGTACTTACTAAATTAAGATTCTCATCTCTCAATCCTATTTAGTAATCAAATACGTTTTTATTGAAATCCATATTCTCAGATGTCAGAAGGTAGTTTCTGCAAACTAAATCTAAAGATGTTTCATTTTCATATATTATACATGTGTTTTTTACCCATTGCAACTCAATTCAAAAGGTTTTAAAACATGTTAGTATTTGATTTCTTATTTTTAAAAATGTTTTTATAAGTGATATTCACTATTTTCATCAGGAAAATTACATAACATGTAAATGTTTCCAAATACCTGTTTCTAAAGGCTCTTTCCAAAGCACATATTTCTTTAGAAAAGCAACAAGTTTCCTCATTCATTGGTGAAATATCACCTTTTATCTCAAAGGAGCAGTTAAAGATATCTTTAAAAAATATCTTCCAGGTTAAAAAAAAATTCATGGAAAAGGTCAATACAATTATTTTCACTTGTCTTTTTGTAAGAAGAAAAATGCATAATACTTTTAAGTACTTTGCCATGAGTTATCAGTGAACCCCAGTATGGTACAAGAGATTTTCAGGGTCACTCTGCCCTCTTATATGGAGGCTTTGTGTTAAGAAAGTAAGGTCATAAACCGTTTCAACTGGGGTGCATTCAATCTTAAGGTGAAATCATTAAAAGTGAAAGAGTGAGGGTGTAAGTCTTCAAACCTGTGGACCACCCACTGTTGCCATGGGCTGCACCATCCCCTACTTGATGGAACCTCTTGTTTATAGATGGAAACTTCTTGCCTCTGGTGGATTGTCTTGTGCTTCTCCTGAGTGGCTGTGTTCCACTTTGGGAAGGATGGAACGAGTGCTCAAGAATGAAATTCTAAACTAAGGCAAAACCAAGAGGATGAAGAAGGTGGTCCTGATAAAGAGGCTTGCGGGAGACAGAATCAGCAGGACTTGATCATGATTAGATACGGAGGTATCAGTATAAATCAGGGCAACTGCACACACACAATTTTTTCCATGCTGCTTTACAAAAATGTTCACATCTCTTCTTTTCTAGTGATTGTAAGTTTTCCCAGATATGAATCAAGCATTTATATTCTTCCTTCTTACCGCCGTGCACTGTGCAATGCACAGTCATTTCTCAGCAAAGACTAAGTGCCCTCTGCCTGTTTGTAGACCTCATGCCTGCAAACATCAGCTGCTCAAAAATGTCTTTTTTTCCACAAGAGGGTCTTCATGAATGTCCACATCAAGGTGGTATCAGTGGAGTGTGGGACCCTCTGAGTCTCAAAGGACAAGGCCTTTCTTCTGAACAGTAGCCTGTACAGCTGGGCAGAAAAGCACTAGCAGAAACCTTTATCCAAGACAACAACATTCTCTCCCCATAAACATCATCAGCTGATCGTCTTACTGGCCCCCTCCCTCCCCTGCACCAAAAGGCAAATGTTCTCCCATTTGTCTCACTCACAGCAAGGCTGGTCCACTGTAAACTCCTGCAAATGCATCTTGGTCAATAACTGTCAGGTATTTATTCTTGTTCAGGTAACTGGAAAGAGAGACACACGCAGAGAGAATGGATTAGGCGAGGTTAAGCAAATTAATATAAACACCAAAATAAAATGTGAGTGTGGTCTCCTTAGCTACTAACTGTTTTTTAGGAATTTAGACCATGGGGTCACAAAGAGCGACTGAGTGCGCGCACGCACACACACACACACACACACACACACACAGATTTAGAAAACATCTTACCTTCTGTCTTAAGCACTCAAAATATTCTAGGTTTCAACTGCGCAAGGTTTAGATGCATTCATTATGGCTGAAGTCTTTGAAAGTGAACTTGCTTATGATCTAGTTTACATATTTTAAAGATTTTATATAAGTTGCCCAATTCCCTATTTACCTGGCCAATGGTGTCTGTGTTTTTTAATCCTCTTCAATACCAACCAAATTAATTTTTGTTCCTCAATACTGATCAATATTTCCATTTACTTTTGATGCCTGGGCTTATATCAGGTATTCAGTGAAGGTGGTGAAGATGGTGAGTGGTGATAGGGACTGGCAGATTCAGATCTTTTATTTGGGGAAAGGCTGCTAGACTTTGCAAGTAATAATTCAGGATACTAAGATAAACACTGGATAATGTCTTAGTATAAATTGTGTGTATGTGTGTGTGTCAGTTGTATAAATAGTCCCTATGTAATTTTTGAAACATTCTTATACTGAAAATTTATTTGTTGTTCATGTGAAATTCACATTTAATTGGCTGGTCTGCATTTTATCTGGCAATTCTGAGCAGGGGAAGGTTATACTGATAAGATTATAGAATATAGCTTCCATGGAAGTGGTTTGATGGACGCTTTGATCTTTCCATTTTGAAAACACGTTGGCATTTGAGGAGAAAATATTTTTGAAGCAATTTAAGTCATAAAGGGATTCTGAAAAACAAAATTACCTCTAAATGGATAAAAGCTTTCAAGTATTTTGAAACTGGCTTTTTTCTCCTAGCTGTTTTAGAAAACAAAGCTATCTAAAAAGAAACCAAGTACTATATATATAAATATATATTTTTTATTTCTTTTTAGATAAATATATCTTTATAGATATATGTATCTGCTATATCTTTATTTCCTTTTAGATTATATATATATGTGTGTGTGTATATATATATATATATATATAATCTCCTTATTATAAATGATCTCAATTTACACATGTTTAGAATAATTCACCACATAGACAAGTCAGTTTAGAGTCAGTGAGTAGTCACCTGCTGGTGCAGTGTGAATATAGTGGAGACTCTTTGGAGATCTGTTTAGATATAGATAATGCTTCCATTTTTCTGCTTATGGTGCTTGCTCTTCATGATGCAAAATTCTTGAGGATGATGGTTAAAAAGAATAGCATGACACTGGTATTTACATGTAAAAGGATAACCAGCAAGGACCTACTCTATAGCACAGGGAACTCTGCTCAATGTTACTTGGAAGCCTGGATGAGAAGGAGTTTGGGGGAGAATGGATCCATGTATATATATGGCTGAGTCCCTTTGCTGTCCACCTGAGCCTATCACAACATTGTTAATCGACTATACTCCAACATAAACAGTTTAATAAAAAAGGACAGTGTGATAACTAGGTAAACTACAGAGACCTACTGTGTAATACAGGGAACTGTACTTGGTACAGTTATCTTGGAATAACCTATCATGGAAAAGAATCCGAGAAACTCTATGTATATATATCTCTGACCGAATCACAGTGCTGTAGACCTGAAACCTACCCAACATTACAAATCAACCGTACTTCAATTTTTAAAAAGGAACAGTATGCCATGAACACTTTGAGTCAGAAGGATGCTTTCTCCAGAGCCCGCACAGAGGAACTCGCCCTCGGTTAACCGGCTGTTCCCTTTCTCTGAATCTCGGAGGGAGACTGAGGACAGAGAGGGTGGCTGTGTTTGTGGCTGAGCTGGGGGAGGCAGCCTCTGTCGCTGGTCAGAAGGCAGAGCAGGAGCAGTGCTTCCATGAGCTTCGGGCCCCCGGCCCCTCCTGGCCCACCGTCTGCTCCTCCAGTCTTTTGTCCAGGATGGAACCTGGAAAAAGAGGGGGCAGCCTCAGAGCCACAGAAGGGTCTCCACTGGGGCAGCTGGACGAAGAGTTTTACCAACCGCCAACAAAGGCTCCCTCTCCTGGATGGGGGATGAGGGGTTAACCAAATGACAAATACTGCGACTCCATACAGTGCTGTCGGTGTTCAATCAGTCATGTCCAACTCTTTGCAACCCCGTGGACTGCAGCACAACAGGCTTCCCTGTCCTTCACCATCTCCCAGAGTTGCTCAAACTCGTGTCCACTGAGTAGGTGATGCCATCCAACCATCTCATCCTCTGCCGTGCCCTTCTCCTCCCACCTTCGATCTTTCCCAGCATCAGGGTCTTTTCCAATGAGTCAGCTCTTTGCATGAGGTGGCCAAAGTATTGGAGTTTCAGCTTCAGCATCAGTCCTTCCAATGAACACCCAGGACTGATCTCCTTTAGGATGGACTGGTTGGATCTCCTTGTAGTCCAAAGGACTCTCAAGAGTCTTCTCCAACACCAGGGTTCAAAAGCATCAATTCTTCGGTGCTCAGCCTTCTTTATGGTCCAACTCTCACATCCATACATGACTACTGGAAAAACCGCAGCTTTGACTAGACGGACTAGTGATGTCTCTGCTTTTTAATACGCTTTGTGATCTTTTACACGTTTATTCAAATCGAGGTTCAGAACAAAGTTGATCTAAAGTAGCCACCACCTGCTTTCCTCATTGTACCCTTTATTTCCTTCACGGCATTACCACAGCCTGTGCTTATCTTGCTTCTTTGTTTACTGTTTCATTGTTTGTCTCCCCAATCAGAATGTAAGCTCTCTGTCTTACTCACTGCTATATCACCAATGCCCAGTTCAGTGCCTCTGTAACTATCTCCTGAATGAAGGTGTAAAGGATTGAATCAAAAAAGCAATGCACTGTTCCTTCAAAATAGTGAGGTGGGCCATGCTAAACTTTCACTGTAAGGAAAAAGTAACAGAGAATCAAGCATCGTATGGTGTGTTGGCAACCACTGACTCCTCAGATGGCAGTGACAAGCAGCTTGTTTACAAATGCCACAGAGTATGGTCCAGATGTGGCCTCTTCAGGCGATGGCTGGATAGCAAGCTTCCAGGGTACCGTTAAGTCTAAAAATGCAGGGAGGGGGTCAATTAACCTCATATATGTACAAAGACCCAAGTAAGAGGTTACAGCAGCCAGTCTGTGCCTTCCGGATGAATGGCTGTCATGTAAGTCTCACTCAAAGACTTCATTTGAACACTGTTTGACTCTCCTTCAACTCAACGTGTCTACAGAGTTCATGGTCAGTGATAGCTAGAGCAGACAAAAGCCACCTTGGAGAAACAAGAACTGCAGAGAAGATCTTGAACAGCATGATTTTGTAAAAAGACAACAAACTCAGCACAAGTGCCACGCTGACTGGCGTCCCCTTTTGTACTCTTTGGACCACACAACCTGCAGATCACATTCTGTTCCCAGACTGCTGAAAATCAAGTAAGGATTGGTGAGTTCATCTCAGTTTTTCCTCCTCATCTCTGACTGCCGCAAGTGAAAATCGGCTTGCTCTAATCAGTAGAAATTATTGTAAAACTAAATAATTGCTTGTCCAATTCTGCAGTGTTTTCATCGGATATTCAATACGCCCCCAAGGATCAGGAGGCTGGTTGATAAGTGCTACAGTTTACCAGAAATGCTGCAGAAGATTTTAAACTGGGAAAGCCAGCCAGAGTCCAGGAGGGGAGCAGCAGGATAAAGAGAGGGTGCAGCCAACTTGAACAGAGATGAACTGAGTTTTGGGGGGAGGCTGCCTTCTCTAAAACCAAGGATTGTTTGTACACTTCATCCCTTAGAAATAACGAGGTGCTTAAAAATGAAACCCCCCCTCTGCCATTGGCAGTTTGGAGGCTATCTTCTTATCACAGATGATGATAATGCCATGAAGTGTTAACCTTGAGTTCAGATTGCTGATTCTACCTTCCTTCTGAAGCAAAGTGGATGGGGTGGGAGAATACATTTGCAGAAGCCTTAATATTCAGGAAGAGTGGACTTCCATCAGCCCATGTATCATATAATGTTCACGGGGAACGTCAAGTTTAAATTGAGTCTTTGACCCTCACTTATCCTGATTCCTCTAGAATCCACAGTCTGTAAGCCAGCTTGGGTAAATCAATCACAAATCTTGGTAGGGCTGCATGGGTAACCTACTCTAGACGACGATTATTTCATATGGAGGGCATATTTGTGTGATCATCTAAACCCTCTCTTCCACAGACAAGGTGAATGTAAAAGACTAAAAAGAGTAGAACGTCTTGGAGTCTGCGGTGAAAAGAAAGACTTCTTGAAAGGATTTCGAAATACTGGGAAGGGCTTATTTGAAAAGGACTGGTATCTTTATCAGAAATAAGATAGACACTGCTCCATATGTGTATTCCATGCTTTTTCACTCTTTGGAGCATGTATGCCTCTTTGAGAACTTCTTGGAAGAAATTAAGTTCCTCGTAGAAAAGATATATCAGATTTTTTCACACGGGGGTCGGGGTGGGGGTGGGGTGCAGGTAAGGGGAGGGGAGTTAAGCCCTGCCCTGAGTTAAGTGCTGTGTATCTCACAGGTACGGAAGAATAGCGTGGTCAGAAAAGTGACGATGGTCAGGAGTGAGGTGCGAAAGACTATCCAATTGATGAACTCAGTACTGAAGACATGGCTCACATTAATCCCCACTGGACTCACACTTGGCACGTAGCAGCCATTCAGTAAAAACAAGCTGAGTAAATACATGGAAGTCCAGGTGCTGGGTACCTCCTAGTTGGAGGCACCCTCTACATTATGTTTAGGTGAGGACATGTCAGAAGGAGAAGTATGACATTGCAGCAAGGCAAGTTGTGGGTGCTGCTAAGCTTTGTTCTCTAGGGTGTTTAAGGATACATCGCAGCTCCAAGATAGAATTTCAGCCTGCATT